CCCAAGGTGGCCAAACTTGTCATAGTGGGAGAGACTCTGCTGATGAGATCAGAGTCTGAAAAGACAAATTCCAAAGTGCAAAGAGAAAAGGATGTTTTCTTTTCCGCTGGACAAAACACAACTTTTCTGGCAGGCCCAGGCAGGACAGTCTGTCCCCTTTGGCAATACCCTGGACACACACGAGTGTGCTTTTACATCCAGCCTGGTTTGATTACTCTATCTCTCTCCAAGAGAATCTGGCAAGAAAGATATCTGAGAGCATTTAGAAACAGCACAGTCTGCAGCACTCTGCTTCTCTCAAACAGCTTCTAGCACCACTGGGAGCCACCGAGCACTGGGAAAACACCCAAGGAAAATCACCCTGAGTGCTGCCAGCCCTGCAGATGCTGCAGGCTCAGCCTCAGTTGCCCCAGCTGGTACCCACAGACCTTTATCCAAAAGTCAGAACGCTTAGCCAGCCCCAGGGCCAAACCCTCCCCCCTCTCTTCCCACTTATGATTCTGGACCTTTGCCAAAGGCATCTGGTAAAAGATTCACATGTCAAAGGCTTTTCCTGACCAACAATCTTTTTGCATCCTGTCTTCTTCCAGAGTTAGATCTGCTCTTTCAGTGGCCATCCCTTCCTGACAACGCTGTTTAACACCCATCTGGGGAGCTGGTGCTCAGCTCTTCTAAACTGCACGTTAAACTCACTGGGAAATGAATCATAGCTTGTCTTGGGTTGTTTAGGTTGCAAACACCCCACCTGTTTGATCAAAATATTATTTTATTTGTCTCTGCTGTTTGTAGAGAAAGATACACCCCTTGTGCTTACTGAAAAGTTCTTGTGATTAGTGCCAGGCAACCCGAGAGAGGAAAACAAGTTCATTCTAGTGAAGGCCATGGTTAGTCTTGATTATGAATTCAAAACACAGTTAGCAAACACAAACACAAGAAAATACAGGCCTGAAGTGTGTGTGCCACAAGTCTGCTGTGTTAGGAATTGTGTTAGGAATCCTCCAGGACCCACATTCCACATCCATGATCTGCAAGCCCACCTCAGGAGTGTCTGAGCTGTAGGATGCAGCTTCTCAGGTGGGCTCCTGCCCTGTCTCTCACCCTTTTCAACTCCACAGTTATTTGCATTTCTCTATTTTTTTTAAATGCAAATAAACCAACCAGATTGAATATGAAGAATCTCCTTCTTTCTAATAAAAAGGGTTTTATCACAGAGGTGACATCTGTGAGAGCACTAATTGAAAACACATTTATCCAAGTAGGATGCATCATAAGGACCTTGAGTGCTCATTCTTCTAGGTTTTCCTTTACAATCAGTTGTAAATTGCACTTCTGGCATTCTGTAAATCTAAATTTCAGTGCTGTGCCTTCCTATTGTGCAGCACAATTTCAGTCAGTTTTCATTTAACACCATTTCACAGAGGGCAGACATGAAACATCCCACAGCCCACTGTGTGAGGGTTTACTGTGCCAGAGGTGTTATCAAACACCACAGCCAATAACTCCTGAAATTTCTGCACTCTCTACACCAGGTCAGAATGAAAAATGTCTGAGTGTCAGCCTCAGTGATCAAATTTCCTCACTTGTCTGCTTGATTCCCTGTGCTCCCCTGGGTTTCCATATTGCTCATTAAACAAAACAAACCTTTAGAGAAAGGGAACCTTTGACATGATTAACTACCTTTGCTGGTAATGTGTGCAACCCACCCAGGTGTCTAGACAGTTTGAAAAATACAGATCATATTTAGGAATAACAGCTGGTACTCCTCAAGTCTCTGCTGGACCTCAAATTAAGTAGAAACAGACCTTATCAACATTAGGTGGTTCTCTTCCAAAGAAAACATCCAGCCTGTAGCAGGAAATTAAGTTACTGCTTTGGTGGATGGCACTTTACCTGCAGCCTACCAGAAAGTTCTGCACTCTCAAAGGTCCTGTTTTGAGAAAACTGAGAGAACAAAATGTTCAGACCCATTTCAATTGTGGGAAACCTTCAGTGTTTTTTCATAAAAGGCGAAAAAAAAAAATAAATCCACACCTGTGTCCTACCAGATTCCAGTTTAGGCAGGTGTTTTTTGCCTGCCCATGTACCTTTTAAAAAAATAAGTTGGAGAACCTTTTTTGCTTGTGCAGGCTTCAAATGAAATTTTGTTAGGTGCTCCTAAATAATGGCTCAGTAAGAGGTTTTGAGAGGGAACGACGACAGGCTCTGGTGGGAGCAGGCATTACAGGGACTCCTCAGGATGAAGCAGGTGCTCTCCACGAGGTTCCCCACAAGTGGCTCCTCTGTCCTGGCCCACGTCCCAGCCAACACCTTTGGCCAGCAGAGCTTCCCTTGGCCACGAGCTGCTGGCTGCAGAACAGTCACACCTCATGGCATGGCAAGAGCAATACCAGGTGCCCAAAAAGTGTGGACAGGAGTCCTCTGATTATTAAAAGATGGGAGTCTGAGCAAAGTGAAAAATTGCAGGTTAAAGCCATTTAATGAGGGCTCTGGCCCAGGATGCCCCACGTGTGCAGGATGTGGTTTTCCAGGAGCGGGGCAGTAGCACAGAAAGCCAAGGAGGTGCCTTGAAACAGGATGGCAAATGGGACTGGTCCCAGTTAACAAATTCTACACCAACAACGTGTCAAAGCTGGGCAAACACCAAGGAAATCCCAAGGTATTCCGTGTTCAGCAGGTATCTCCCTTTGGATTGAGTCACATTTGTCACAGTTCAGAAAAAGGCAGAGGTCTTAGCCCCACTCTGTTGTATTTGAGGATTTTTCATCCCTCTGATGGGGGGAAATGAGATTTATATTTCAGCCCAAGGGGTGCCCAAGGCCTGAACCTCAGCTGCTCATCAAGGGCTCAGTTCAGGCCAGGAGTGCTTTTATTTTATTTTATTCAGGAGTGCTTTTACTGCAGGAGGCTGTAGCTCACCTTGAGCCTGGAGAGCAGCGAGGAGCAGGCGGTGCATGGGCAGCAGCAGGGGCAGCAGGGACACACTGCAGCCAAAGCTGGCTTTGTGTAGGGCACAGCTGCCGAGGTGCCACAGGAACAGAACACACAGGACAGCCCCAGCACCCGCTGGGAAGAGCAAACTCTAAAACACGAGGCAGACAAAACATCTGGCAGCTGCTTCGAATAGTTTTCTGTCTGAAGGGCAGACAAGCCTGCAATAGTTTCGAATGAAAACATGTGCAAGGGCAGGATCAGTGCTGCAGTGTGTTTTGTGCAAGCATTGAATGAGTTTTGTTCCTTTCAGCACTGTTTTGTAAGCCAAGAAAGGTTGTGCTTCAGGTTAGGCTTTTAATTTTAATAAACTTTACTTAATAAATCACAATATTTCCTTCTCTAGTCAAATGCAACTTTGGCATAAGATCAACAGCATTAGCTCTGCATAGGAAGCGAGTGGGAGAGAAGAGGGGCAGTGTGCTAGGAACTGTTTTTCATAATTGTCTTACCTTATGCAGGAGAAAAGGTGTGACTGCCAAAATAAAGTTCTTAAAAGTATGACGCACGTTCTTTCAAGTTCCCACATCTCAGGCCCAGGGAAAGGGAAAATTGCCTTGATACTGGCAAAGGACTTGACAGCTACAGACTGGTGGCTGGGCTCCAAGAGGGAAGTTGTTTGAGCTCAGAAATAAACCCTCAGTCCTGCAGACAAGGGAGAGAATTGGAAATTGTCTTTTCCCTCTCTAAGTTTTCCTGTCACAGCTTTGATGAAGATCCCCAGGCATGGGAGTGGAACCTGCACCCAGGACAGGAGAATGCCAAAGAAAGGTGATGTATTTCCTTATCAGCTCCTCCACTGAACATTTCCCCTCTTGCACGCTTTTCTGGACACAGATTACTCCCACAAAGCCTCGGCTCACAGGAAGAACCAAAAGCTGCTCCACTGCTGCTTTGACTCTGCTCACAGAGATCTGCTCGCCATGCTGCCAGGCTGGGATGGAGGCAAGAACAGCAGGGCAGCAGAGAGCCACAGATTTACGAGGATTTGCTAATCTGTGATATCATTTGTTGATTCCATCAGGTCCAATCCCCAGCTCATGACTTCCTCCCGTTGCCATGGCACTGTACATAAACACTGCAGGCTCCCAGCCCTGAGCCGGTCATTTGTTTCAAATATTCCATGCAGCTGGAACACGAGCCTGTTTGGGTGTCTGGAGCTGAGCATGAACTAATTCCTCAGTTTTCTGCCCCTCCCCAGCTCCTGCATCTCCCAGCACCCTCCAGCCTCCTCAAGGGAAGGGATGCTGGCTCTGGGCAGCAGCAGGCACAAGCTCTGGCTTTCAATCCACAACTGTGATTACTGACTCTGCTGGACCTTACAGCTCAGGATCTACAACCCTTAATCATGTGGTTTTCCACATGGAAGAGACACACAAAATTTTTGTTAAAAAAAGTCTTATCCTGACTAGAGACAAGAAACCACTTGTCTTTTTTTGAGCCCTCCCTCCCCACGACCCTTTTGAGGCGGTTCTCAGGCTGCAGCTGAACCTCACCTGTTGCAGAGTGTGATTAATAAAAGATTTGGCTTCCACACACAGCTTGGTGGCTGCAGGGAACACAGAAGTGTGTGGAGAGCAGGAGGACTTGGATCCTTCACCATCGTGGACAAAAGCATCGCCACACCTGGAGAGGCTGAAGCTCGGTGCTGACACGATGTGGGAGCAGCTCCGCGCTGCCCAGCTTGGTGAGAGGGCACAGCCAGGGGACAGAGCTGTAAAAGCTGCTGCAAACCAAGCTCCACCAGGACCCCAAGGCTGTCTGACCACGGATTATCTTCAGCTCCATCTCTGGTGGCAGCTGCACACTCTCATGCCTCTGCCTCTATCACCTCCTCCACGCCAGCTCTAAACTTCACCCTCTTCCAAGCACAGATCAGGCCATGGCAGCCCCTGCTCTGCCTGTTTGGGCAGGATTCTTGGGAATAAGCTCACTGCTCATGCAGAAACAAAGTACAAGGAAATCTGATAATTTCATGCAAATAAAACTCATCACCAAGTAATATTTAATAAAGTTTATTAGGTTACTGAGTATTATCTACAGTCATAAAATAGAAAGAATTTTAAACTGTACAAAGCACTGTCCTGGTGAAGTGAGGAGAAATGGAAATGAGGGAGCACAAAGAGCATTAGAAGTAGGGAGAACACAGCTCCTTCCCTGGAGTTCTGGAAGACACTGGTTCAAGTTGAAGGCAACCAAGTAGGGCTCCACACACACTGAATTTTGTGTCCCACCCTGCAACAGAAACTAGTACAAACCCCTATGTTGAAAAAAAAGTCATATAATATTAGATTAAAAAAGGGGCACATCACACCCCACCCAGTCTTGGCACCAACTCTGTGCTTTAAAAAATATACTATGCAAGTAGTTTATTTTCAAAAAGGTACCCTACAGCAGCTGTTTAAAACATGTTCTTATACATACACCACAAATATATATATTAACATTTTCAACAACTAAACTCATTTGTACCTACACAAAACTGAAGGAATAACTCGAAAGCAAAAAAAAAACCAAAACAAAAAAACAACCAAAAAACCAACAAAACAAAACCACAATCACACAAACATTTTTTCAAGAAAAAAAACCACAAAATGTGCAAAATAACCCCAGAAAGGCAGCATAGTAACCTGTGGAGAGGTCAAGAGAGCAGCTCCTGCTAATAAAGGAGTGTCATCCTCTTTACTTGGCTACTGAGGATCTATTTGGGATGTGCTGATTTTGCCTGAATTGCTCGTCCCGGTTATTGCAGCTCCCTCCTGCTCCCCAGCTCTGCAGAGGTTCAGTTTCCTCTTGCTGTGCCTGAAGATCCCCCTGGGCTCTGTTTAACCCTCCCAAGCTCTCCCTGCAGCAGTCCCCTCCTGGGCTCACCTGCTGGTGGCACTTGTGCAGCCACACTCCTGTGGGACACCCTCCCACCCCGGCAGGGCACAGAACCATTCCTGCTGCAGAGTTTAGAGCAGATGAAGTTGGTCTGTGACAGAACCAAGCCTGGTCTGGATGAATTTAAGCAGTTTATCCAAGAAGAGAATTCCCTGGCAGTACCATGAGAGGAATGTTAGTTTCTCTAAAGCCTGGGCACGGAGCAGGGGGCAGAGCTCAGGGGACAGGACCTGCGCTGGGGGACAAAGCCCATAGAGATGGTCCCAGCCTATGGCACAAGCTCATCCTTCCCTGTTCCCACAGCAGCCAGGAACCCCAGAGCAACAGCTGCAGCTCTCAGTCAGGAAGGAGATGTTAAAGACAGCCTGACTGCAAAATCAACTGAGCCAAACCCACCAGGAGGAGGCAGAGCAGAGGATGGAGCAGGACAAGCAATGGTGACAAACAAGAAAGCAGGAGTCAGCCTGTGGAACAGCAACAGAGCAAGGTGAGATGTCCCAGCACAGATACAGACATCAGCAACATAACCACCTCCTCCAAACTAGGAGTGTCCTGCTGGAAGGGCTCTTGGTTTTGGTGTTTCAGGGTTTGGGGTTGTACTTTTTATTTTTTGGCTTTTAAAAACTCATTAGTTAATTCTTTAAGGTATTCCAGACTCTTTGCAACTCTGCTGGCCATCCTGAGCCTTTCCTATCTTAGGACCTGGTCTTAACATTCCTATTCTTAATGCTTCCTCTTTCCCCAAATTATGTGTTTATTCTTACTTTTATTCTTATTATTGTTCTTTAATGATCACTCTTCCCTTTAGCTGGTACAGAAGAATTCCCCCCCCGAGGCCCTCGGAGCGGGGGGAGGCAGCAGAGCCTTTTCCCAGGAGCAGGCAGGCACAGAGCCTCTGTAAATGTTCCTTTTGTAAGTGTGCAGGGGAAGTGGCTTCCGAGGAACAAAGCAGAGGAACAAGGGCTGCTGGAGAGCTCGCAGTGAGGGCACAGGAGGATGAAGCTGTGGCAGGAATCCTTTGGCCAGGGAGCTGCAGCGACGGGGCCGACACGAGGGTGGAGAGCGCCCATCACCGCCTTGGTGCCACCTGTCCTGGAGCACGAGGGTCATTGGTAGAGCAGGTAACTCTTGAGGGAGGCTGGCAGGGGCAGGGTGGGGATCTCAGTCAGTCTGTCCTTGCCCAGGGCAAGCCTCACGGCTCGCCGGCACAAGTCCATCAGAGGCAGTGGTTCAGCTGGGGAGAGAGAGCCGAGACATGAACAGCCCAGCCCACAGGTAACACTCACCTGCTGCTCCTCAACCCCCCAGGAACACTGAGCAAGAGAAGTGAGTGCTGTCTGCAGGGCCTCAGCAGCTTCAGCTCACCACACACCAGCAGAGCATGAGGTTCCTGCAGGCTGTTTAATGTGTGAATGAAACAATCCTGGAATACCGACTGCAAGTTCCTCCTCTGCAATTCCACTCATTCCAGTCAGAACACATCTTTAGCTCATGCCTCTTACTGCAGTATCCAGAAACTTCTGTAAGAGCCACTGAAGTAAGACTACAGCAGGCAGAGTGTGTCTGGGTACCCAGAAAGTGCCGTGATTTATCTCATACGGGAGGGTAACAGCTGTCAGCCCCTCCATCTCACAGCTCCCATGAAAAACAAAGCCACCTGTCAAAGCTTCATGTTACTGCTTGCACCCTGACACTTCCCACTGGAGCAGTCCCTCCTGTGCCACAAAGCCAGGAAGGACACAAGCCTTTGGCTATCTTTTTCTGCATCCTGTACTTAAAGCCCTGAACAGGATTATACAAGTTTTGCAGGAATGGCACATGGGCTGCTGAGGAGTCACTCACAACACAGAGGGGACTGAGGTCAAACATCCCAGCTGCACAGGAGGAAGATTCACATTAGCTCCTCACAGCCTCTGCTGTTGTCAAAGCTCACCCTGACACTGCTCAAGCCTGAGGGGTTTGTCCTGCCCCCAGAGAGGGCTGACAGGCATCCCAAAGCAGATATCTGCACATCCTTCTGTTGCCTGAGGGCTCTGCCTGCACCTCTAGCAAGTTTCCTTTGCTGGGGCTGAACACAGACACCCAAGAGCCCCCACAGAATGGGTTTGGCTGAGAAGCTGCAGCTTTCAGTACCTTTGGTAGATGCCTACAGCTCCAGCTGCCACTGCTACGTGCCAAATGAACCCGAGTGTTCCCCCAGCCCCTGAGCCCAGCACTGAGCTGTTCTGTGTCACAGAGCCAGCCCTGGCCCCCTGTGCCCTGCCCCATCCTGGGGTGCTGCCCCTGCAGCACAGCAGCTCTGTGCCCGCCTGGGACGCTGCCAAACAGGCCCATGAGTGGCAGCACTCCTCTGGCACTCCCCAGTGTGGTTTATTCTCAAACCACAGAGGCACAGACCCGCTGCATCCAAAATCTGCCCCAGTCCCACGGAGAAAGAGCTGGGACAGAGGCACTGCCCGGCATCCCCAGGACATGGGGCCTGACCTCCAGAGCCTTCAGATATCCACAGAACAAACACATCTCACTGCAGTGGCCTTACAGGGAGAGGATCTTCCACAGAGATTAAGATTTGTCCTCAGCCTGCACTGATAACCCAGTCTGACAGGAGAGCAAAGGAGAAAGCACACACATATCTGACCTCCTTCCATTCACAAGCACTACAATCACTGGACAGTGTTGCTATTGAATGCTCACAAGTGGTTAGAGCCAGACACCTTCTTTCTATCTGTGCCAAAATAGCATCCAGTCACTGCTGGCCTGGTGCCCACCATTCACTCCTTAGCTGAGAGCACATCAGAACCAAACCCAGCCCTGGAGGTGGCCCTTTCCCTGCAAAGTGCAGCTCTGTGCCAGCAGCTCCACACACTCACTGGCTTTGAGTGGAGCTGCAGGTTTTGGCTTTGACCCTCCGGCAAACCCGGTTCCTGGAGCTGCTGACTTTCTTTAAGCTGCTGTGGCAGAAGGAGCTGGGCTTTCTTTGGGTGAGGAAATGCTCTGCCAAGAGCTCTCTGTTTGGTCTTGCAGAGCTGAAGTGTATTTCCCAAAGCACTTGCAGATTTTGCAAGGCTCTCCAGGTCATCCTGGCAGCTCAGTTTTTCTGGTGCCTGGTGGCAGCTTTGTTGTACTCAGGGTTTACCAGTGCTGGGCCAGCATTAGGACACCTCCAGCACAAACACAAGAGCCCAATTTGCTACAGCCCTGTTCTGGAATGCAGGGGAAACTACTCTTCATACCAATGCTGCCAAACTTATTTCACTTGCAACATAAATCCAGATTTTAATCCACTTCCTTCACCTTTCCCCTCCACCCTACCCAGAGGACTGAGTCACAGTCTGGCCCCATGGGAACTTCTGACTATGAGAGATAACAGACTTTAGCACATTTGGACAGACAAATTTATTACTAAGCTTAGCTAGAGACTGATGTGCCTGTTAGTAAAAGGCCTGGCACGCAAGTTGGGCTGATTACAGCATCCAGCCCCTCGCTAGAACAAGCACACCCTGCTCTGGAGAGGCAGGGAAGTCAGCTACTTTGAAAGATGGAAAACATCCCCATTTTCTTAGATGGGAAAATCTGTCCCTATTCTTTGCCTGCAAGGGATTTTAAGCATCCCTTCATTATCCATTTAAGGAAGGGGACTGTTTCTGTACAGAGACCCCAGGACTCCAGTGCCAGTAATGCAACTGTCAGAGGAATGCTCCTGCTGCTCTTTTGGTAGCACTACAAGGTTTCCCATCTCTAGCTGGACACCTGGCATCGCCTCCTCACACCAAACCACCTCCCCAGGCCCTGCCTGCTCCCCTCAGAGCTGTGGTGACAGCACAGCTGAGCAGCCAGACTGACTTTGTGCATTTGCCCTGGAGGATTCAGAGCTGCAATCCCTCTGCTGACACCAATCCTAGCCTCTCTGGAAAGGGAAAAGCCCTCCCCAGGATGGCCCAGCAAGGGCAGCCACAGGGCTGTGCTGCCACGGTCATACTCACGGTCGAGCCCGTTCAAGTAGCACATCCGAATTTCACAGTGGCCCCACACGGCGCTCACCACTGGGTAGAGTTTTTTCCCCTTGAGTCCTCGAAAGGCGACCCCCATGTACTGCCCATCCACGATGAAGCTCAGCGTGCCATCGTCCATGTCCAGAACCACCAGGAAGGAGTCGGGCACGATGAAAGTCTCGTCCGGCTCTAGGAAGGCGGGGTAGGTTTTGCTGGGCTGGTTCTTGCCGTCGTGGTAGAGTCTGTTGCGCCCCAGGTCCCAGCCCCAGGACTCGTGGTTGTTGCCCACGAGGGTTGTGTAGCCCACGGAGTGCAGGGGGGCCTCTGCAGTGGCCACCCCGACCACGGCGTGGGTGCCCCGCTGGCGCATGGCCCACGTGATCTGCCACACGTGCAGGCCCCGCGTGTAGCCCACCTTGCCCCTGATGGCATCTGTGCTCTGGGCCACCGGATGCCGGTGAAATATCAGTTTGTCGTCCTCTTTCACAAACACGTTCAGCGAGCGGTCGTCGTTGTTCCACGAATGCAGCAACTGCACCTCGTAGGACACCGGGGGCATGTCCAGCAGCAGGTCCAGCCGGGTGGGTTTGCTGTAGTCCAGGCCCTGGAGCTCCTGTTTCAGTGGCCTGTACACAGGGTCCCTCATATCTACAGTCTTTATCCCACCTGTGACCTTCTGACCCATCGTGCGGCCCGATTCCGCCTCTTTACGGGCTCATCGATTTACCTGGCGGCTTCTGCTGTCATCCAGCCCCGCAGAAAACGTTGCCAGGAGACTTTGTCAAGATGTGCACCACTCAGGATTGCCTAATGGATGGAAAGAAAAACAGAGACAAGTTAAAAAAAATAAAAGACAAAAAAAGCCAAGAGACAAGTTAAACATTAGCACGTTGGGTCTCGTGTGCCACGTTCATCTGTTCATCCCAACAACGTGTGCTTCCTTTCCACCACCCTGGCGTGGCTACAGGGCTGAGGAGATGGCTGTCCGCAGCTAAAGCTTTGCTGAGTACCTTGGAGGGCTGACTGTGAGTCCAGAGCAGCAGACAGAGGCTGCTGGCTCCAGCCTTGGGGGCCACTCATTCCAGCAGCTCCCGGCCCCTCGAGCCCCGGCAGATAAACCTGCTGTGAGCGGCTTCAGCTGGGGCAGCTTCTCCTCTCTGAGAGGAAAAAAATATATTAAAAAAAAAAATCCCTCATTTCAGTTGCAGAGCCCAGGGGGAGGAGCAAGATCCTTCTCACAGTTTAGCAGTTTTCCTTCCAGATTGCAGAGAAAGCTCTGAAACGTTTGAGGCGGCCTGGCCAGAGACTCGCTCGCTCTGCGCACCTCTCCTCCAGCTCTGCTCCCACTCAGCAACACAAACAGCCCTCTGTCACACAGCTGCCAAACTGGGGGCAGCTATTAGGAGAATTAGAAGTGGGAGGGGTGCAAACGAGCTTTCTAAGAAAAAAAAGTGTTATTTTAACATTTCCTGAAGTGAGGCAATCATGCAGCGCTCCTGCCAGCTACAGTCACAACACTTACTCACAACCAAGGACCTCATCTGGCATAGAAAATACAGCATGAATCAGATCTGGTTTAAAAATAAGATTACTGGACATCAGCAAGGCTTCAGCTAGAAGGTGAACAAGGAATGCTCACGTATGTTCTGGGTTAGGGGTGAACTCAGCAGTTTCCCTACAGGTTTTTACCACTAGTCCAAGGTATGCCATTGGAACCGTGAGCTAAATCCCAATTCTTAAGTAACAAGAGACAAAACTACTTTTTCTTTCCTTTCCCACTTTTTTTAAAATCATGGATGGAGAGGAAAATGCCTGAGATTCTTTAAAAGTCACATCCCAATGCAGAGGCTGCAGTGCAGCTATTTCAAACTATTCAGGGACTTCAGATGCTGGGCACTGAGACAGAAGATGCCATTTAGATAGGCCAAATCATGTTATCACTGCTGAGATGACCACCACATCCTGGAAGTTAAATAAATCCCATCCACAGCATCAAAACAAATCCTGGACCGTGTAAGCCAGCTGGCCAACAGCGAAAACAAGGCAGTGACAGCAAAAGCAGCTGAGGGAGGGCAGTCCCTGCACGCCAGTGCATCACCCTCCCACAGCTCAGGGTTTCGTGCCTGGGCCCAGCGTTCCCATGACTCACTTCAGCCCCGGGCACGGCTCCCTGGCTCTGCAGCATCTCCAGCCAAGGCACCCCAGGAACAAACCAAACCAGACATCAGCCCCACGAGAGGCACCTTCACACTGACCCAAAGCAGGTATTCTCACCAAGGGTCGGTGTCAGCTGTCTGCTCAGGCTGGGATGGAGCCATCAGCTGCTGGCACAGAGCTCTGGTGCTCTGCACAAGGCACCAGGTGAACTCCCTGGCATTCGGCAGCAGCTGGCAACAAGGGACTGGCAAGGCACACGTGGAAGTCCACAGGCAAATTCAGCTGTTGGAATTTTGATTAGGATAAGGGAACAAAACACTGGCAGAGGGAGGAGAGGCAGAGATTTCCTGCAGTACATGTGAGAACACAGCATAGGAAACAAGAACCAAAACAAAGCAGGCTGCAGGAGCACTGGTGTTTGAAGCACAAAATACTCAAGACAAGTAAAGGAATACAATTGTGCTCTTCATTAGCAGAACAATGCCTTGTTCATTGTGGCTTTTTGCCTTTTGCCAACATAAGCTTCACCATATTTCTCTGAGGCTGCTGCACCAGGAAGGGAATCACCCCTGAGAGGCTGTGGGGCAGGACAGCCTGCTCTGCCCAAGAGCAGCTCTGACACAAGCACCACTGCTCCCTTCCACTGCTCAGGACCCCTTCCCAGGCAGACTGTTACCAGCAGGTGAACAACAACAGCCAGAATAAAGAGAAAGGGTGAGGAAAGGGAAAAGATTGAAACAAAGGGGTGGGTTAGAGGGACAGCAGGTCAGGCACCGAGCACCCCGTGCCAAGGTTTCAGTGCAGTGGGGATCCATGGCAGGGCAGGGCAATAATTCCTGCTCACAGCTGGCTCTGCTGCTCCTGGCACCAGCCTGCTCCAGAACTGCAGGTGGCACCTTGCCCTCCCCTCAGGAACACAATTATGCCCTCATTTCTTAAAAGGAAAAGCCTCTTCAAGCACAAGACAATACAGGCCTGTATCTCCTGCAGCAGGAGAGAGACAGAAAGGCTTATCCTGGTAAATTAATGGATTAATGCCCTGGGCAGCTGGATATGAGACACAGGCAGCCATAAACAAAAAGATACGGTAGGGAATGAGCTGCTCCAAAACCTTTGCTACAGGTTTAAGTACAAATGTAAACACTGAAAGTGCTTTTATCTGTCTTCTCAACAGCTCAGGCTTGCTGCAACTCTGCTCGGCTTTACCAACACGAGCTCATCCCTGTGATGCTCACTCCTGCTCCCATGCCATTTTCAGTTCTATTGTTAACCCTCTGGGCTTAAAAACTGGGGAATGAAATTCCAAGGGTGTCACAGAGAAAAGTATTCACTGCTGTGTTCAGTGAGAATTAGACCTCCCTTCCATTTGGGTGTTCAAGCAGTCAGTTTGCCATCCTGGATGGAAATGCCAGCTTCCAAAACAACTGCTTGCTGCAAACAGCTCAAGGCAGGAGACAGCAAAGACATTTAAATGGAAGGCAAAGCTCTGCTGTTAAACAGGGAGAACACAGCTCTGCAAGCAAGACCCTGCACGTGGCAGATCAGAGCTGGAGTCCAGCTTCTCTTTGCTGTTCACAAGCTCCCAGCCCCTCACAGGTCCTCCCTTGCTCTGCAGGACACCTGTCTGGGGCATCAACAGGAACACATGAAGGAGCCTCAACTCCTTGATTCCTGATCCAGTTTTACTTTATTTCTTCTCAGCAGTTTACTGTGGCTTTATCACTTTCCCATAATATTCATTAGGTGTACTTCTACAGATAAGAGGCCAAACCTTTAAACACCCAGGCTCTGGGTGCTCTGCAGACAATGAATCAGAGCCCTGCCCTAAAGATTTCCAGCCTGGAACACACCTCAGGAGAAGGAAAGGAAATACATACATATATATATATACACATACATATATATATATATATACTGCACATGGTCATTGACTTGCTTACAGCTTTAGAAGCTGAACTAAAGGATCCCAGACAGTACCAGTGAACGAGGCTGAAAAACCCACTGTAGTTTTGCTCATGTTCCCATGATTTCACTAGAAAAGCAAAAGGAAAAAAACCTGGGATAATTTTCTTGGGCTGAATGCTCATCCTGCAAGCCAACAGCCAAACACAACTCCCATTTTGCTGGCTAACCTGCCAGCAGGTAGAAATGTGCACAGCAAACACGTCAGAAACCCCACAAACAGCCTTCACAATGCCTTCCCCTCTTCAGAACTGCTTCCCCAGCAGGGATTGATTTCCCTGCTCCCCTGGCAGGGCTGAGAGCACATCCCTGGATCACAGGGATATTCTGTGCAGCCAAGCTGGAGCAGCAATGCTGCAGCACACCTCAAGTGGGGTGAAGAGGGAAGGACTGACGTGCCTCTGACAGCAGCCAAACTTCAGCCCCCAGGAGCCAGGACCCTGGAGTGTCCCTGGTGTTAATTGTGAGCCTGAGAAACGCAGCGGGTGACCTGCACTGTGTTTGACACCTGGCCCAGGCAGGCTGGGACACCTGCTGATGCCACCAGCAGCATTCTGGCCTCAGCACCCTTCCCACCCATCAAACAGCGCCCAGAGCCTGGGAAAGGCGAGCTCACCTGTGCTGCTGGAGCTCCCCAGTGCTGTGCTGGCAGGGACCAGGCAGAGACGACAGGAACAACTGCACCAACAACATGGTCAGAGCGAGTTTCGGAGTGTTGCAACTCAGCTGGGATCAGGACTGGGCAGGCAACCCTGGCTGCATAGCAATGGTTTTGGCAGCCTCACACATGGCCAAGGTTGCCACAGGGGCTACTTGCTCAGCCCCACCTCCTGAGGAGCAGCAGCAGCTTGGCTCAGCAGCTTCAGCTGCTGCCAGGGCTCCTCTGCAGAAAGTGAAACTGCAGCCACAGATCACGGGAGGTTGGGCAAGAAAGAGCTAAGGAAGGTGGCACTGGTCCCAGCAACCAGCAAAAAGGAGACTCCTCCAGCAGGGGAAGGAGGCCCTGACAAGCCCCAGTGCTCGAGGTGTGCCGGGGATGGGGAGCACCGGGTGCTGACCCGGCCTGGAGGGCAGCACTGCCCTGCTGAGCAAACATCCCCACTCACCCAGCCCTGGCCAGGGGCTCTGCTGGCCCAGCTGTTCCCCCAGCCCTGCAGGAGAGGCTCCTGCCCCAGGAAGCCTGGAGCAGGTCCCTGTACAGCAGTGCCAGGACATGAGGCCACCAGGAGCCAGAGTGGGGACACAGCTTGCTCTCCTTGGGCAGCTCCTGCTCAGCTTCTCTGGCTGTTTCTGCCATGCCCTCACAGTCCATCCTCCAGCCTCTGGCTCTCCAAAACAGCACCCAGCTTACTCAGAGCAGCACTTCTGAGAAAATGAAAACCTGAATAACCACCAGCCATCCTCAGCCAAGCCACTCGCTAGACACCGACTCAAGCACATTTCCACTGTCCACCCCCCAGCCGGTTCCTGTGAACAACAATGCTGCACAATCTGGCAGAAAACAATTCTAAGCAATAGGAGAGAGTTTACTTTGCAAAATATTTGTAATGATGGAAGCAATTCAGAAGGAGCTCCAGGAGTTTGTGCCAGAGATCTTCTCTCCCACTGAAGGCAGTCACAAACAGCAATTTTGGTTGCAGAGAAAAGACATTTCTTTAAACGAAATAAATGAGCTCGGGCTGGTTTTCCTCACAGAGGAAGTTTGGTGGATATCTCAAAGGTCATTAGGCTCTTTGCAGCTCTGCACAGGGTAACTTATGAATGCCAACTGCAGGTTAAAGCCCAGGCACAAATCAAGAGTCTTTAAAATAGCTTCTCACAGGCAGATTGCAGTCATTTGCCTGCAACAATTATGTTCTTGGCATGAGGCACTGCTGGTCCAGCTTCCCATGGTCAGCCCACTTAGGCCAGGACTCTCAAGCAGTTCTGTTGTCTCTTTTCTGTAGGCACCTTGCAGAAGTTTTGTCCTGGGTGTTCTGAGGACAGCAGCAGCATTAGGGAGCTCTGCAGGTTGAACAATCAGTGCTGCTGAGTCCAGAGCTCAGCACTGCCAGCAGCACAGTGACTCCTCACCCTGCTCTCATTTCCTTCCACACTCACTCAGAGCCTGTGGCCTTTGCAGACCAAGTCAGGACAAGGAGACTCTGGCTGGGAACTGCTCATTTACTGCAACTCACAGATGTTAAAAAG